CCAAGCCCCAGCTCTGACCCAATAAACTCAGCCCCCTTCTCCCTGGAGTCTCTGACCTCCCTCCATAGCCCCTGTTGATTCTGTTGATTGAGCCTCTAGTTCTGACCCAGAGCTGCTCCTCTGTCCTCCCCAGATGGCCTCCTACTATGGCTATGCAGTGGCTGCAACAGACCTCAATGGGGACGGGCTGGATGACTTGCTGGTGGGAGCACCCCTGCTCATGGAGCGGACAGCCGATGGGCGGCTCCAGGAGGTAGGCAGGGTCTACATCTACCTGCAGCAGCCAGCCGGCATGGAGCCCACACCCACCCTCACCCTTACTGGCCATGACGAGTTTGGCCGATTTGGAAGCTCCTTGACCCCGCTGGGGGACCTGGACCAAGATGGCTACAATGGTAAGTACAAAGAGCTGAGGAGGAGTCGAGAGTCAGAAGGGATTTAGAATGAGAGTGACTAAGATACCCAGACCCCCAGTGTCTTCCCAAGATGTGTAGGTCTCGAGGCTTTGAAGGAATTAGAATATCGGGGATGACAGCTGGGAAAAATAGGATCCTGGGTCCTGGGTTTTGGTGGTAAAGATTTGAACTCTTGGATCTGGGCCTGCTGACTGGTGTGTGTTGTGTGTCTTGCAGATGTGGCCATTGGGGCTCCCTTTGGTGGGGAGACCCAGCAGGGAGTGGTGTTTGTATTCCCTGGGGGCCCGGTGGGGCTGGGCTCTAAGCCTTCCCAGGTGCTGTTGCCCCTCTGGGCAACCGGCCACACTCCAGACTTCTTTGGCTCTGCCCTTCGAGGAGGCCGAGACCTGGATGGCAACGGATACCCTGGTGAGTTGTTCCCTAGGCCCTGTTCCACTTAGAATTCCCCGGTCACTGGCCCCCTTAACCCTTCTCTGCACTTTCCTGAGGTCCTTGGGTGCAGCTCTGGGATACTGCCACCAGGTGGCGATGTTCCCTCACTTCGGCCTCCTTGAGCTATGAAACTAGAAGGGTTAGAAAGGAAGGATCCTACTTTGAGGCTTGCTGTAAAGGGTAGTTTCTTGACTTCTTGCAGATCTGATTGTGGGGTCCTTTGGTGTGGACAAGGCTGTGGTATACAGGTATGAACTCCCGGATGGGCAGCCTGAGAGAAGTGGGAGCTGGGGAGTTCCTCAATGGGGCTGAGGTTGGGAACGTGGACAAAGGACAGGGGGATCCTGGGGCTTGAGCATCAGCTTCTTGCCCAGGTTCCACAGGGTCTGAGTTCTATTGTCCCCACATCCTCTCTTGGCAGGGGTCGCCCCATCGTGTCTGCCAGTGCCTCCCTCACCATCTTCCCTGCCATGTTCAACCCAGAGGAGCGCAGCTGCAGCTTGGAGGGGAACCCTGTGGCCTGGTGAGCTGGGGCCCAGGAGATTGCAGGGACCAGTCTGGGTGACCTCGGTCTGTGCCTTGGAGAAGGCAGGGAGACCAGGTCTGCAGCAGTGCAACGACGGGAAGCTCCAGGCCAGAGCCCTGCCTCTGGGCCTCAGATCCTGAAATGCCCAGAGGCCGAGTGTTTCAGGCTGCGCTGTGAGCTTGGGCCACTCCACCGGCAAGAAAGCCGAAGTCTGCAACTGCATTTCCGGGTCCGGGCCAAGACCTTCCTGCAGCGAGAGCACCAGCCATTTAGCCTGCAGTGTGAAGCTGTGTACGAAGCTCTGAAGATGCCCTACCGGATCCTGCCTCGGCAGCTTCCCCGAAAGGAACTTCTGGTGAGCTGGGGCCCAGGAGATTGCAGGGACCAGTCTGGGTGACCTCGGTCTGTGCCTTGGAGAAGGCAGGGAGACCAGGTCTGCAGCAGGGGACAAGGGGTTGTCCTAGTCTGGGTCTGTCTGGGAGATAGGCAGAGGACATAGGATCCCTGTCCAGTGGGTGCATCAGCTCTCCCCTTGGTCTTCCTCCAGCATCAACCTTAGCTTCTGCCTCAACGCCTCTGGAAAGCACGTTCCTGATTCCATCGGTAAAGGAGACTCCCTGAATCTCTTGGGCCCTGGGAGGGGATGGAGGGACTGGGGGCGTGGACACTGCCCTTCTCCCTGAATAGATGAAGAGGGAGAGGCAGAATCTCCTAACACACACCCCCGGCTGCAGGCTTCACGGTGGAGCTCCAGTTGGACTGGCAGAAGCAGAAGGGAGGAGTACGGCGCGCGCTGTTCCTGGCCTCCAGGCAGGCGACCCTCACCCAGACCCTGCTCATCCAGAATGGGGCCCGGGAGGACTGCCCAGCTCTG